ACTGTGAAATCAATTCTGCTAGTCAAAAAGTTTTTGGGGCTAGTTGAAATGACATCTGGGCTAGTAAATGCTAGCTTCAGCTTGCCCGAATGGCAAGCTGTAAAAATGATTTTCTTTGCACCTTGGTGTCTGTCTTAAAGAGATGTCCATCTTATAGAGAGTCAAATGAAGGGAGTAAAGAAAGGCAGGGACAAACTCTGGTAAGAGAGGTGCCTGACTTAAAGAGGTGTCTGTTAAGGGATGGTGAACTGTACCTCCATCACTATAACCTTCTTCTGTGATGATTTCAAGCAGTCTGTCAAAAGCATTCTCAAAGGCAACAATTTTCTGTTGAAAAACAATAACAACATACATGTGACAGCAGGCATGACTGTTAATGTCTGGGTTTAAAGAAAATGTTTGAGAGGGCAGAACAACTCATTTATAAGCATCGCTTTTAGTAGCCTGCGTAGCATGGCGGTTTTGTAGGTAGGGGACCCGAGACCTGTACAGTGTGGGTGAGGTAACCAACTTAGGTGGGGTAACCCACCTGTTGTTATACAGTGTACATGTAATCTCTCATATGGTCACCTCACCTACACTGTATCATGTGAATGTGATCAAATTAGGGATTAAAATGAGAGATTATTATTATGGAGATAAGTGTTACCACACCTAAGCGGGTTACCTCACCTGCCTGGGGTCCCCCACCTCCACGTAAACAGGCCAAAAAATTATGGGGCTTTAAAATAATGAAACAATAAATTATATGTACCCTAAGATAGCAGAATCATGCTTTATTCTACACTTCATTGTTTTGTTTTCTTTTTTTTTTGTAATTGTTATTGTTTATCATCATCATCATCATCATCATCATCATCATCATCATCATCATCTCGCTTAATCTGAGACAGGCTGGTGTTCAATTACTCAAACGAAAACAGATTTCCCTTAGCTACGTACACTCCACTAACTTGTTTGAAATCTTGTTTAAAGTCAAAACAATAAAATTATTCCCATTCACTCTGAAGACACTAAACAAATTGGCAAAATTAATGCAGACACATGTTGTACCTGTATTGCAGCATTGGACTTGGTGAGTTGAATCAACAACAACAACCCCTAAAATCAACAAAAATCACAATAAGGAACAACAAAAATAATTTGGTCAAGAAACAGAGTTATAAATAAGTTTATTTATTTACGTTGCAGTGTACAATAGTAAAAAGCTGGCCAGGATATCAAGAGAATCAAATTGAGTTGTAAATACATTGTGCAGCTAAAAATAAACCATTCCCCCCTCTTTCCCCCCCTCCCCCGCCACTACTAAAGGAAACAAAAACAATATAATATTAGATAGTGACAAAAAGATACCATATAATTTATTGCACAATGGTGTACATTTACTACCTCATTTCGGATAATTTCACGGCTATCAGACAACAAATCCATTAGCCTTGATACACCTGTAAAAAAAGGCAATTTTAAAATTTGAAAAGAAAATTAAAAAAATATGTATTGAGATTAATATAATAATATACAAATTATATTTTTTAGATTCTTGTGCATGTAATTGAACTAGTATAAATTGTAATATAATATTTACAGGTCGTATTTTATGTGTGTGACTAATTACATGACTGTATCGACAGACCAAGTAATTCTAGTGTATGCATACGTGTTTGTATGCAGGGTATAGATCACATTCAAACTTATTTCATTACAGTGACTGTTATGTGTAGTTATTATGTGACTGTATAAACATTGTGTTACTTTGCAATGAAAATAGCAGAACTGGAGATATTATCTTACCCATAGGGCTCACTAAAATACACTGTTGGAGCTGATAACTGAAAAAAAAAATAATACTGTTAATAACATTTTAAAACGCAGTCACTGACTGTACAGCGTAAAAATGATAATAATAATGAGACGATAATTATGATCATCACAGTGGTTAACAAACAACTGCAATTTAAGCTATTGCAAATTAATTAACCCAAAAAGTCCCGTTGAAGTCCCTAAATTTTTTTGGGTTAATTTGTAATTGCTTAAATTGCAATTTCCACTGCGATGGTCATATTTTCATTTAAATTTGTATTTCCACAGCTACAGCTGTAGTTCACATCATCTCCATTCTAAGTATCGAAATGTACAGTACCAAGTGTTTTGACAATGTGACTGCCAACATAAAATTTTCCATGGTCTTGGGCACTACATAAAATGTAATGCACATGAGTACATGTGTATAGTGACTCAGAGAGTGAATTACTGATTTTAACATTATACCAGTGTTCTCACTAGGCCACAGCCTTGTGGGATTGCTGCCAGAAAATCTGAGATAGATGGTGCATAAAAAGCCAAGAAGATGCACCCATTAGGGCACAAGGGCATGCTACGAGTCATGGTCAACCTAACATCCCAGCATGTTGCTTGGTAAGAATATTGGTAAGAACACGGTTATACATGTATGAATACCATGTGAAATGAAATTTTTGCGGGTCCTAATTTTTGGCAATTTTTTCAGTGATCCACAAAAACAAGCTTTCACAAATAACAAGTACCACAAACATTAAATTTTTTTCCGTAAAAATTTACTTCAGGGTAAATATTTTCTAACTTAAATTCACTATACAACAATACAGTTAGTACTAAGTTGTAATTGTAGTCTGTTCAATTACAACTTGGTATACAGTGAATTACTAGTTTTACATAAGGGTATGCATACTGTAGTATTGTTTACATGTATGTACATTATGTATTAACTTCTGAACATACTTAACAAAAGCGAATCATTGCCAGGTAGTAGGTACTTTCTGGGACTCATCTTGTGAAAAAATAAGTGACTCAAAAAATGAGTCTAAGTGCCAAACCAATATGAGTCCCAGTTAAAAAAAATGAGTCTGAAATTGAAGATGCTTGGGCCTTTATGTAACCAGACAGTTAATTTGAAGACAGACTCAAAAACTCTGTATTACAGTATACTGAAATTGAAATATAGTCCTCACTTCTGATGTAAAGCACAACAAAGGTTAAAAGAGATAACACACTGTTAAACAACAGCCATGTTATATAAATACACAGGTTATGATTGGTCCATCCATCGATCAATCTTTGCATATTTTAATTATTTTGCCTCCTTCTTGATTTTTACACATCATGGACGCACGCCGCAGAGGTAACAAAATCATTGAAATGCCTTGATCTTTTAAAATTAATTCTCTCAGGAGTTGAATGGAGATCAGCCTGGAAAATATTAATATCTGAATACTGGAGCTTAAAGGGATGCCCCTTTTTTTCTGTAGTTTACACTTTACCTCTTGTTTGTCAGCAAGATTGTCAGGAGTTTAACAGTGGGCCATCTAACTTGAAATTCATATTCCTAAAAGACGAAAACTCTATAAGTTACAAAATTTAGAAAATCATACCACAAAGCCTCGAAAAAATAATTAAGAAAATGTGAATTAGATTCTCCAGGCACGAGTTTCTTAAAAGGTGGATAATGCTATCCACTGGATAAATTACTATCCACCAACATTGATAACATTAATAGTAACTTAGTTACTGGTAATCTGTGACGAGTCCAACAAAAATCGCTATGTGCAATTACATGTAACTATTTTCTCCCGCTATGAACTGAAAAAGAAAAAAGAAAAGAGAGAAAAAGAATGCCCACCACACCTCTAACAGACCAAGCAATAAGGTGACATTATCAGTTTTCTTGATGAAGATCTCTGTGAATTGAACCCCTAACTCGGCATCTGAAGCTGTCTGTCCAGGGTCCTGGCCACCCTGATCTGAAAAGAATCAACAATATAACTTTGCTGAATGATTATGTTCCAGCACAATCCTTCTTCAACGTGCATGTACATGTTACAGGTAAAAAAAAATTGATTTCAGGTGATAATTTTTTAACCAACATGTAGGTTGAATCTTAATTTTCTCTGTCTTCTAGGGCTCAGAGACAAGGGAAATAATTATTGTAAATCAACCTAAAAAAGTTAAATCAAGTAGTGCAGCCTTCCCCAAGAGGTCGATGTTCACCATACATGTAGTTCATGCCAAACACTTTGGCAAGTTATCACTTTTTTTTTTCACAATTACCAAAGCACTACATGTATAAACAATAGCTGATGACAGCCACTTTTAAAAGTATTCATAACTAGCTAATCTTCCTTCCCACATCTTGGTACAGTCGACTCCCGGTAACTTGAACCCTTTATAACTTGAACCTTCCGCTAACTCGAACCAATTTTCATTTCCCTTCAGATCATTTTCTACAATGTATACAATAACATTTTACCCTCAATAACTCGAACGCCTCATAACTCGAACTTTTTTCTATTTCCCTTGAAGGTTTGAATTATCGGGAACCGACTGTACCTCGTGAAACATTTTCATTCCCCTAGTCTTTGACAAAAGTATAATAATATTGGAAGGTATATGAGACACATACTAAAATATTTTGTTATTATTAATTATTATTATTATTAACTATTATTATTACATTATTATTATTCTGTCTAAGGCTTGTCATTATAGCATTAATGCTTCTTCTCTCACCTTGTGGTTCAGCAGACAGCAGGTTACAGAGTGTCTGCAATGCCAGGCCAGTTATTTCTGTGTCATTCCTAAAATAAACATCAACTGAGATCATCAAGTGTGAAGTCCTGAGTAGCTATAGTTGAAGTGTTCATTTTTTCTGTAAAGTATTTAGTAATTTTTATCATCATAGTTAGCTTTGGTTATCTAATATTTTCATAATACAGTTGAACTTCCATTAAGCGGTCACACTGTATTAAATGGCCACCCTCCATTAAGCGGCCAGTAATCAAAGTCCCAAAATAATTGCAGAAAGGAATGAGAACTTAAACCCCTCTTGAATGGCCATGGCCACCTTTTGGCCATCCTGGGCAAGAGTTCTCTTATTGTTGTCACCTGAATTAGAGTCAAACAGGAAAAATCGTGAACATCAGAAATATTTCTGGAATGTTATTGTGTTGCAAGAAAAAAAGCCAGTTATTATCACGCAGGAGAAAACCAAACTGCAAGCAAGAACGTTATTTATTTTGTGGTTTTGTGGCTAAATCGTGTGTCTTGATCTTTGCTGTGATTGGTCATAACACAATAAACATTCCTGAGATATTTCAAGCGTTCACGGTTTCCTGGTCGCACTATAAGCAACCATCAAGCCTTGATACACTTAGTTTGACTTTATTTTAACAACATGATGAAGGAAAACAGTCCAAGAAAGACATACAATGGTGGACCAGGAAATGCTACTCCAAATGCATGTTTGTTTGAAAATAGAGATGTTTCTGCTAAAGATTATGCTCACGTTATGCTCATTATGACAAACCTCTATTGAGCAGCCAATCTCCATTAAGCGGGCACTTGCCGATACCCCAAGGGTGGCCACTTAATGGCGGTTCAACTTTACTCTCCTATCATAAAATCTATGAAACTTGATACACATGAACTTTTCGGTTGCCTACTATGAGATCAAAACTTCCTCAATGGAAGAAATCGCTTTATGAAATTTGCAGTCTATTTCGCGAGACGATCATGGATGCAAGGGGAAGCGTGGTGCAACCTTGTTTACAAACTGGGCCTTTTTGCAACATTAATTTATTGCACAATTACACACGCTTCTTTACTGATCCTTTAGATCCATATCAGACAGAAATCACAGCTTGCTGTTAAACACATGACAGTAACTCAAAACAGCAAACTCTGGTTTTCCAGGGTGCAAGTAGATGTTATGTCGAACATTTAATTTTGTGTTGAAGATTTCAATAGAACAGATGAATTATGCCCTTAAAGGTTATAATGAATGCAAATTTTTCTGATGGTATCTTTATTTGGATCATTGCATAAACAACACTGTTCTGGTTTGGCGACTCTCACAGGAATGAAAAATAGACTCAAGTGCACTGCATTAGAAAACCTAGACTTTCTTTGGGCTTGTCACACATTCCTCCAATGAATGTCTGCTGAAATCAGCTGTTAAAAATGTGAGCAATCACAGCACACTTTAAGATCTGGGGAGTGCAGTTTGCACCGTGATAAAGCACTACGAAACTGTCTACATGGGAGGCTATAGACAACCTACTAAGGGAAAACATCTGACATTTTGAGATGCCGTTGCTGGTTTCCCCATGAAATGACACCCGAGAATTAAGTGCAGAAATTTCATACTGATGTCATATCACTACCCAGATCTGGATAGTGCTTTAAATTTCAACCACTCAACCATTTTCTGATTGGTTGTAAATTTGAAGCATTTCCCAGATCTGGGTAGTGACATGTCCTCAGTATGGAATTTCTGCGCTTGTTACTCAGGTGTCATTTCACTGGAAAACCAGCAGTGCCGGAGGGACGTGGAACCATTTGCCTGTACCAGAGCTAGTTCAGCTGAATTTTACTACCCTATACTAGACTAAACTCCCAAATCCCCCCTATCCTAGAGCAGCTGTTTTCCAGAAACTACTGGGGTCACTAGCACAGTCCAGCCAAAACAAACCCAATGGCAATTCCCGGTTTCCCAAGACTAGACTCAAATCTTCCACCAATTTATCACTTTCCTGGAAAATGATACACTATTCTAGGCCTAAACTCTCTGATCTATGTAATCTATTGTTGGTTTTCACATGACATCACTAAAATTCAAACTACAAAACTATCAACAGAACCGATATTTTACTTTCACGATGTATTAGAGCAGCTGAAAACTAATTTTCAAACAAATTTTTGCTTCAAAAGGGTTCTTGGTTTTGTGATAGAGTACAGGTACGTTTGAATTTCTAAGTTTTTGCATGACGCAGTATTTACATGACGGCCAAGAGAGCTGTCATGCAGGTTAAAGAAATGACTTATTTCAGGGAATTTTGCCTGCTGAACAGTCCATGTATTAGAAAAAGTATTACTTTAATGTTTATGAGTTCCTCAAAGAATAAATTCACTCTTTTGTCCCAAAACTCAGTTACAGATGTTTCTGCTGGTTTCTGTCCACCATGTTGGTGCTAATACGCATGGGCACCAGCATAGCATCTCCATACAAATCTCTAAAAATTTTGTGAAAACATTTCTTCGGATATCTTGTATACGAAATATTCCTCTGACCTGAATTTTGGCGAGGGTCTTGGATATTTACCTCCTTTCCCTTTCCAGATTCTGGACTGTATCTATTGAACAGTTTTGATTTTTATTTTGATCTATTTTGAATGGTGTGACACCGAAAACCAGTAATTCCAGAGTAAACTGCTTGAAAACCATACCCTTCACAGCGGCACATACCTTTATAGCCCGTATATGACAGTACATTCAACCCCCCGCTCCTCTCCCCCTCGTACTAACAACCCACCTGTCTGTTTGTAGCACATTTATCATCAGATCCATAGCCTGTGTTCCAACTTCCAGACGGAATTTCTGAATGCAACACAAAAAAATGCTTAGAAAATAACCCAGCAACTTACAAGATAAGAATTATACATAATTGGTGCAATTTGTGAAAATGAACACTTTTAACACAACAATGAACTGCACGCATGTACAGAGCTCTTTTTTCTTGATTCAAAATACATGTCACTTTAATGTAATTCCTCGCGAAGCAAGGCGCGGAGCGCGAGCGAAGTGAGTTTATAATCTTGTCGCGCGCGAAGCTCACGCGCAGTGTGTGAACCGCACGTGGGTCCTAGCGAGCTGCAAAGTCACAGCTTTCATCTTTACTTGTATATATCCGATGGTGTCCGCCATGACGTCATACAGTAGTTGACGTCACAGCGCATTTTTGTTTCTAGGCAACATTCAACTGAAAGCAATTTCAAATTCCCATCAATGACCAAAGCACTCATGAAGAGCTGTTGTTTCGTCGTCTGCAAAACAATGTTTACTATCGGCGAATCTCAAGCCATTTCTCGTGCAAACAGAACAGCAAACACAAGAACGCAGAATTGTCAATCCTCGCAGGGGAAGATTTGACACCAAAAAATCCTCTGCAGCGAAAAACGCCGACTTGAAATTCAACGGCGCAAGCAACAAAGATGAATGGAGATGGTAGCAACAAACAGTGGAGCAGAGAGAACATCACTCAATGAATTTCAAATGCTAAAGTTCTTTAAGAGCAAATGGAAGCGATTTTGGATAATTAGCCTTATAAACATATGAGCGAACATCGCGGTAACAAAACACGTTTTGCTCGCAGACGAGTTTGTACCGTATCGTCCTAGACTGTTGGCCTTCCATTCTCTACATGTAAATACGATGAAATGCATTTACGTTGGGTTTTCACTGTCCAAGCTGCAGTCATTCTTCTGAAAAATATCTTTGAACTCATGTTTAATAAGGCTTAAAGGTTTTAATAATAAAAATTCCATACTGTGGCATGTATGTTCCACGTAGCCTAGTGGTAAAGCTGTTGCCCGGTCCACCGAAGGGCCTGAGTTCGAATCTGGGCTGCACCTTTTCTCTTCGCTTCTTTTCTTTTCTTTTTTTTTTCATTTAGTTTTCATTTTAGGTATAACAGTTTTTGTTATGTTTCTGTATACAGCTCACAATTTTTGATTGACAAATTTTCTTCTCCGCTTGGTCTTCGCGAGGTCCTGCGATTTATGTATTTCTAGTTAAATCTAATAAGGATAAAATTTAAAATCAGACTTTCATTTCCAAAAAAATACTATAGTCAGTAGTAAAACTTATGAACGTTGGTAATTAGGTAAGGAGAATTTGGAAACAATCAAGTTTTATCAGGTTTCAAGGCCAATGATCACTGAATTAGAACACAAAAAGATTCAATGTAGATCTTGATATTAATAGCGCATTATAAATTTTAAGTTCGACATCATGGAGAGCATCACTCACCTTTGAAAGCGACTTGAGCGCACGCACAGCATCTCGTCTGTCTTCTAAAAGCGTAGAAGACGCAACACGATCACACAGCCGCTCGACCTGAAACAACATTTACAGATAAACCCGGATCAGATCAAGTAACATGACACAGATCAAAGAAAAGTACTCCAATACGCACCGTTTCGCGACCGGAGGATTGCGTTCCAGCTTGCTGATTACCCAAAACAGACTTGAAACTCCTTGATAAGTACTCCATCTTTATTTCCCTTTCACTATTTATTCCTACGCATGCGCGCGACGTGGCAAACTCTCGTTCCCAGACGCCGCGTTACCCTTATCCAGCGGTCTGTCCCAGGAAATATATAGGAATCATATATGAGGTACCAACCGGAAATATTGTCGAGCCGTGGATGCCCGCGCCGTTAACTAATCCTGAGCTAATCAGTAACTTTGTCATAGAGAATGAAAAAAAATAATAAAATAAAAAATAAAAATAAAACAAAACGGATCAAAGGGTGCCTATGGCTAACTCGTGGATTAAATTCTTTTAAAAATGAAAGCTGATAATGAGCTTGCAATTAGTGTACAGATATTATTCAAGTCTGTCAAAAAATGAAAATATGTTTAAACAATCCAAACTAAGAAAACAAAAGCAAAGCGAAAAGAAAAGAAATTCCTTCCGACGGGTTTATTTATTGCGCCACGGTATCAAAAGTGAAAACAAACTTGTGAAATTAACTATCTTTAACGTTTTTGCCCATGAAATTCTGCCGGGAGACGCTGTTTGAAGCTGATAGAGCTTTATTTATGAATAGGAAAACAGGCAGGGTTCTGCCGGTAAAAGTTGTACTTAAACTCATTTCGTCGCATTTGAAATGGCCGACAAAGCAAAACCATCGCGAAGTCTCTTGCTGATGGCGTTGTGCTGCATTTATTTTTCACATGAGAATCAAATCACGATTCAGCAACAATAAACATTTCTGTGAGATTGGGAGTCTTGATGTGGGGCCGTAACAAAAGTTACAAAATCGTGAGACCCACAGCAGAATTGTGAGCTTGGACCCGCTTGGGAAGTGGAAGTACAATTTCTCAACTCTTCATTATGCTTATCGCCTGGACGAGTAAAAAAGCTTCAAAAGTTCATAAACTTCTGTATCAAAGTTGGCCATAGTGCTAATTTGTACAGGGGCGGATCTAGCGGGAGGGTGCAGGGAGTAAGCACCCCCCTCCCCCCTGAGATGACCTGCGGTTTTCTAATACAACTGGTATTCTGCCAAAAAAAAACTATGTGGTTTATTGGTGTTGAAGTAGAGCAAGAGACGAGTGCACCCCTTCCTAAAAAAAATCCTGGATCCGCCCCTGTTGTAACATTCAAACTCCACATGAAGGCAACTAATCACCCTATAGATTCTACAAAATCAATGCACGCTCAGCACTTTGTTTGGTTACGATCGATCTACGCGACGATTGTCGTTTTGATATCGGGCACTTTCGTGCGAGACGAAGTACGTCTACATCTGAGTGACACATTCGCATATCGCAGTGCCCCACACTAATCCAGCATAGAAATGTTTACGAAGAAAACGTTTTCAGTATCAAGTAATAATAAGAAATGTTGAGCTTGAGTTCTGCACGTTAAAACTTAATTTAGTTTGCACGCGATTATAAGACGTTTTCATATCCCCACTAGGCAACCAGACAGTTTTGAAAAAAATGGTTTGAATTGCGTGATGGTGGCACTGTAGTTCTTGGATTCATTGGCTTTATATTGGAGGTATAAAATTGTCGAGACAATGTCACTGTCGCTTCAAGTCAAACTCGGAATGTATAGTGTATTTCTTTCATTCTTTCGTCAGACTACTGCCATGAGAGAGGTGAGCCTGCCTAATTTGTTCATATTACGTGGATTACGTGTAGCGACTTATTAAGGAACGAGTTAAAAGTGCAGCTAAAAGCTAAGTGTTCGTGATGATGGTACGTTTTGAATTATTTAAGAAAAGTAAGGAAAAAAATCATTTAAAAGCTCTTTATTCCCTTGAGATAACTAATTATGAGTTTAATTATTGGGCACGTAAATTTCAAGTTGTGTTTCAAATGTTGCCAACATATCACAGTCCGCGACAGGTCTTTTCAAAGAGACAGGATACGATCTTAATATTTGAGTAGAAGCTACTTTCGATGTAAACTCTAGACGATAAGCATACCAAGGTACGTCCCTTTTTTATTATTATTTTTCATGCCAAAAAATGCCGAAGGCATGAAAATTGGTGTTGTACGAAAAAAAGATAAAGGTCTTTACTTCATTATTCGGTAACGCGGATCGTAATTTTACTCTTGAGGCCGGACGGCCGGGGTTTGCTCATTTACGCTCCCTCAGTGCTCCGTTTTAAGGGAATTTAAGCTACGTAAACCTACACGGATAGGAAAGGATAGGAAAGGCGTCAAACAAGGATTTTGAAGTCACCGCCTGTGAATCGAACACTGAGAACCTTCCGCACAGAACTGACCGCGCTCTAGCATCTTACTGAAAATGTTTTTAAAGAAAGATATCAGAAACGCAGCTGATTATCAGGCGCGGATTCCGGATAATTATTGATCGATTCCCTGAGAACGAGCACCGAAGGCTCAAGGGTCTAGTGGGATGCGGGGGCATGCTCCCCAAGGAAATTTCCTTGGTTTCTGAATCATTCAGACAGGATATTGGCCAATTCCATTCTCCTCGGATAACGCCCTGTAAATCGGCGGATTATTTCAGCTCTCGATTTCAACTTGGAGAGGTTTTTCATATTAAAAATACATTTATCATGAAAACTCTGACTGATTTCCGTAAAACGGTGGAAACCTGTGTGGATCCGCGCCTGATTATATTATATTTAAAAGACCTTAAAATTTTAAGCATGTTTCTCATGTTTGCTCTGCCTTGTAAAGGTAGTGAAAATCTAATAAATGATTAGAATGGTTTAATCTTTTCCTTTCGTTTTCAACGGAATAATTCATTTGCCAAATAATCGCTTACTAAGAATACCTCAACAAGCTGATAACGGTACCTGAATAACAATATGCTTAATATTAAAAACTGAAGCTTGCTTCCTCCTTAAGTCTCTCCGGCTTTGGTAATTTGAATGTCTCAAAACCAGGTTTGCCTGTTTTATTTTTACCTTTCCAGAAATTTATTACTTGAAAAGAATTTACTGAAGGATGAGATCCGTATTGTCATTCACCATTCGGATTATCTTCGTCGCTTGTTTTCTAGCAGAATTGACAGTTGTAAAGGGTACGAGAGTTTGGCTCGAGGTTTCACACTTACAAGCTGACTTTTTTATTCATACTTGCTAGAATTACATGTATTTATGCCTTTTTATTTATATTTACACCTCGGTTTTGTCGCAGCCACTCCTCAGACACTTCACAAAGTACCACGAGCGACGGAAACTGGAAAAATCGTTCGTTGAACGGGGAGACGTTATATCAAGAACTTCCATATATCGTCAAATATCTTCCTATTTAATCCCGGGACAAAGAAAATATTTCGTTAAACCGGGCTTTCGTTAAGCATTAGATCGGTTATATATAGGGGATTTACTGTTAAATACAGTGGCAGAAAGGGGGCTCCTCAAAGGGTAACAAAAAATGGGTTTTAACAAGAGGTACTGGATTATGAGCTCCTGGAGAGTCCCCAAATAAAAGTATGAGCTCCTGTAATCGGCTCCTGGTTGTACTCGCCCAACACTGTGTCACTGGAGAATCGAAATACCCGAAAACATGGACAAAAAACATACAACTCAACAACCCGCCGCTATCTTTGGTTTTAATAAGTATGGGTTTGCTATATGTATATAAATTATATCATCAGTGTTTCTCTGTGGAATACGGTTTTTTTTTATATATCGGGGATTCATCGCTCAATACAATGGTCATGCAGATCTGGAAATGAGAAGACTGACTGCCCTCGAATGAGAAAAAAAGCCCACATTTTGCGACACCACAACTGGTTTGCCCACGAAACGATGTCTGAGAAACGAACGAAGAAATTCCATACTGATGACGCGTGACTAACTCCGGGGGGTACTCAACAAATGTTTATACGGGCTGGCTCCGCCCCGAAGTCCAACCCCTTACCCTTTTATATATCATTTTTCATGAAAACAGAACCCCTTTCGTATATCTTCTCTTGACAAATAGTACTCCTTTCACATACCTTGTTTAGAACTTTGCATCCCTCTTAACCCTCGGAAGTACAAAGGGGGTGGAGTGGGGGGGGGGGGGATTCCCCCTAAAAGGTTTTTCTGGGTTTTTTTTCCCAGAGGATAAAACGTCAGCACCTGATGTTTTCAGTAGCTGTTCGTTCATCCCTCGTGCCCATTTTGAGTCAAGTTCAATTATGGTCAGTTTCTATGGTTAAGAGATATGAGGTCATGAGTAGCAGGTGGTCAAGCCATTTTTAAGTAAAAGTACATGTTTTGTCAAAGTAAGTCTTGTGGCTAAAATCATACAAAGTGCTTATTTATGTGTTTTGTTTTTCATGTCAAGCACAAAAGAATCACCATTTCTTGTCGTATTAACCCGATTTCTAATTCTTGGTAAAATCCAAGAAAAGCCCTGGGACGAGGTTGCAAGATAGCGGCCAAGATAGTGACTATTGTTGGTGACGTCACAAGCCGCCAGCAGCGCCACGACCCCTAAAATATAGCACATCTTGTTAAGAAGATCAAAGGCTTTCCTTTGAAGGTAAAATCGTTTCGAAATAATGCAACATATCAAAAACTCTAGAAGGGGGTGGGGGGGGTCCATCCATTCCCCTTCCCTTGTACGACCGTGGGGGTATGAATTTGCGTTTACCTCCTACAGTTAACTGCTGTAAGTGCACTGTCGCTTTCTCGACTTTTTTAAGCCATAACATTCATCTGTTAGCCCTTTCGGGACTAGCAGACCCAAATAAACAGATTTCCCTACCCTTTTATTAGTACTTCAACTAATGAACTCCCTACTCTTTCATATACCTGAAGCCTGAATAAGATACCCTATTCGGGTGGAGCCTCCCCGTTTAGTCCATCATAGGGATTACCTCCCCTTCCCATCCGGTCACTAGCCAGATCTGGTTAGTTCTCTTCCCACGTGTGTGGCGGGAAATTTGCTTTAACCAATCAGAAGTACTACCCTCTACTTTCCGCTAGTTTCTCAGACGTCATTTCGCGGGGAAACCAGTGGTGACGTCACGAATGTCAGCTGTTTTCTCAGGCTAAGAGCGCCCTTGGATGACTAAACTTGAGATG